CATCGGAAACCGAGGGGAATACGGTATTTGGTCAAAAAAATTTAATAATTTTCCTTCAGAACCTCCTCCAAATGGCCCTAACGCTTTGGGGAACATTGGCAAAGGCAACTATGCCTTGAACCCTCTGAAATTTTATCTGTTTTTCAATAAAACTGATTTATTTGCGGAGAAGTTAAAGTGTACCCCATTGCAAGTATGCTTTCCGGAATCGAGTAAGTTTATTCCGAGTGGTTTGAAAAGATGAAAATTACGAATCTAGCGGCTACAAACTATGACGAGGCATTGGCGTATGTTAAGGAAATATTTACGAATAAATTTAAGGTATAACCTAAAAACTACGGGCTAAAAATCCCAATGGTTTAGGAGAACTATCCGAAATGGACTAATGGTTGTCTCTACACGATGAGTGCAGTGGATCCGAGTCTGGATCAAGTGGGTTATAGACTTAAAAGATTACCCATTGATGAGAGAAAAATAGTGGTTATAATTTAAATAATTATTTATAGTTATCCATCTTAAAATTTAGTTTATTTGCAGAAAAATATGTCCCCAGTTCGGAACGCGATCACCTGGTTGTTCGTCGGCGCCATGTTGCGGGCAAGCGGATTTGATTCCGGATAAATTTTTTTTGATAGATATTGCTCAATTGGAAAAATATCCCAAGTCCTTGCCCATCGATGCCAAACAAATTCGAAAAATTATTTCCAGTCATGCTCACGTATCACAGAGCCGTTTATTCCCAGAAAAAAAACGAGACACACACAAAAACGATGAGTCATGCAAAAAAAGAGAGCGGTCGGCGGGGGCAGTGATAGGGCATCTGTGGGTCGCGTTTGGGGGTGAAGGTGATCGTTGAGGGTTGGACAGCTTCAATGGAACGGACTGCAGGTATCGTCGACGTTGTACTGCAAGGGAAAGGGATTAAAAAAATAGCGAATCAGAGCAGGCTGACAGAAAGTGAGAGAGCGCGATAGGGAGAGAGCGTGGGAGAAAGAGAGAAACAGATAAAGAGGGAGAGAGTGAGAGAGTGAGAGCGCGAGATAGAGGGAAAGAGCGAGAGCGATAGAGAGAGCGAGAGCGAGATAGAGAGAAAGAGAGAGCCCAAGATTATATGGAGGTCCGTGTGCTTGAGTGGAGGGGCTGAGTTTAGCTTCTAACTATAGAAAAACTGAAACTGAAAAACTATAAAAACATCAATACAAGGATTTTAAAAGTCAGTTTTCTTCCGATGATCGTTATTGGGTTGCTGTTTTTCCACTAGAAAATAGAAAAAGTTTGCCCCCCCCCCCCCTCATCGTTAACGAAATCAGAACCAAAATAAATCAAAAGCGCTGATACCTGAAACGATTACCTATCATTATCTCGAAAATCAACATCTCGAAAATCAACATCTCGAAAACAAACATCTCGAAAGTTCATTATCTCGAAAGTTCATTATCTCGAAAGTTCGTTATCTCGAAAGTTAATTATCTCGAAAGTTCGTTATCTCGAAAGTTCGTTATCTCGAAAGTTCGTTATCTCGAAAGTTAATTATCTCGTATTATTATCTTTCTACTCGAATACGAGATAATTAACTTTCGAGATAATGAACTTTCGAGATATTTAGCTTTCGAGATAATGAACTTTCGAGATAATGAACTTTCGAGATAACGAACTTTCGAGATAACGAACTTTCGAGATAACGAACTTTCGAGATGTTGATTTTCGAGATGTTGATTTTCGAGATGTTGATTTTCGAGATAATGATCAATCCCCACCTGAAACATGCTGAGGCCCAGGGAACACTTGTACGTCTTCTGAAAGACGGCCGATGGCATGATGGCGCCGTTGACCGCGGCGTAGTGTGCTAGGCGTGGGCCGTTCGGGCTGGAATATCAGGGTTTTCGAGAAAGATTGATCATTCCTTACCTAGCCTGCACGTCACTGAACTTGTCGCAGTAGGTAAGGGCGGCGGCGCGGAAGAAGAGGTCGTTGCCATAGAGGCCAAGCTCCGAGCCGACCTGAAAGGGGGATGCTGCAGCGAGAGAGAGAGAGAGAGGGATAGAGAGCGAGAGAGAGAAGGAAAGAGAGAGAAAGTGCGAGAGAGATAGGCATTCCTTACATCTATTTGCCAATCATCCACATTATTCGCGCCGAGATCAAACGCCAGCCGGGCCATCAGCAGCGAGTGCAGCCCCGGGTCGCCGGAAGAGTTGTAGCAGCGACCCTGGAGAAAGTACGCTAAATCTGGGCACCCCGACCTCCTTGAACAAGTCGCAGGCGGTGTCGAATTGTGAGTATATGCAGTCGCGCTTCTGCTCAGAGACACGAAGGTGAAGGCCCTTATGGCGGTCGGCATAATTGATGATGTAGCTGGTCAGTGGGGCGAAGACGAAGCCAAGCTACGGAAAATGGTTTATCCATAGAGATACGGTAAAACTGAGAGCGTCATGGCTAAACTCTAGTTTACCCCCAGGCGAGATAATAGGCCTGGGGGAGAGGGCGCAGGCGAAGAGATAGTAGGCCTGAGGGGGAGGGCGCAGAGAAAAGGGGCGTCTGGGGGGGGGGGTAAACTAGAGTCTTACCAGCGTCATATATTTAAGGAGCTACAGACCAGAGCCGAGTGGCGAGCGGCTATCATGGCCATCGCCATGTACAGCACCGGGGGTGGGGTGCGCAGGTCTAAAAATCCGCAGCTTTTCGACTTTACGTCCTATTAATTCGTGGTGTATCCCAAAATGTTCGCCGTGGTCAAATTACTATAAAAGTTGCTTCCTTACATCAAAAATTGTTAGAAAATTTTTATAACGATTATAAATCTGGGTATCCTTTAGTTAATTTTCCGGGTCCAAATGAGTTTTCGTATCTCGACTATTTGAGGCCCACAGAGCTGTCAATAGTACCAAAATGTAGCTCTAGCTCTGTACAGGCCCGTAAGAGGGGGGGCGAGGGGCAGGCCGCCCCCCCCCGAAATCGGCCGAAGGCCAAAAAGTTCATAAGGGGACCCTTATGGTTTAATTTTTCCAAAAAATTTTTGTTGCCTGCGGCGCTGTTTTTGTCTATTTTTAACACTAGATTTAGTGTTATAAACCCTATTTTTTCAAAAATTTGCCTGCGGCGCTGTAGTTTTAGTCATATTTGTGAAAATTTTTTGGGGTCGCCCCCCCCCCGAAATTTGGGTTTGTTACGGCCCTGGCTCTGTAGAACCAACCTACAGTACATCTGAATTGAATAAAATAGCGAAAAAGAAAATATTTGAGTTTTTGTAGACCTGGTACATTGAGGCAGGGCGACTTAATATTCGCATTTCAACTTGTAAAAATTTTTCTAGCACGTTTGGGCGTCAGGAAACAAGTTTTTTGTAGTAATTCAACCACGGCAAGCATTTTGAGATGCTCACGCATTAATAGGATGTATGGCTGCAAGGTTAGGGCTGGGGGGGTAAGCTAGACCCTTACCCAGAGCCTTTTTTCACAATTCAAAGACACTCACGCTGCCCCTTCATAAAGTCCTCAAAGTAATACTCCGAGGCGAGCTCGGCGGCTTTCTAAACTGAAAATTCTCGGAACGGCGTCAGTTCCAACACGAGCATGTGCGTCGCGCACTTCGCGACGCTCGCGGACCTCACGGTCCATCCCAAAAGCGGTCAGGTATTCGCCGTAGGTCTCGATGAGTTTGTCGATGTTCTCGAGGTCTGTCGCGAGAGCCGTCACTTTGGTGCGATACTGGAAAGGCGTTTGGTTTCCTGACATCCCAAACCCACCTTGATCCACTGCGCCTCGCTGGCCGTGTTGTCGAAGAACCACAGCAGCTCGTTGTCCTCGTCTTCGGTCGCCATCTCGGCCCACTTCTTCGGCTCCTGCTCCGGGTCGACCATGAACTACGATAAATAAACAAGTAGGCGCTGATGGTCATCACGAGGAGTTTTTAAGTGCAGTTTCCCCCAGCCGGCACCCAACTTTTGTATCTCGGCTCCCTGTTCATCTACAGGTGTGTTAAATATACCAAAAAGTTTGTCTTGCTCTGGCGAGTATTTTGGTAGAGTATACACACCTGTAGATAAACAGGGCGCCGAGATACGGTAGGTGGGTGCTGGCTGGGGGGGTAAACTGCACTTAAGTCTATACATCAGTCAGTGTGTTGATGGTTTTCATGCGGAGTGCGTTTTGAAAGCAGGCAGTAACTTCAAGATACCTCAGCCATTACGTCGTCAAAACTTGCAAAGAATGAGCCGAAGAGCGTGGGAGGTTTGCCGGTCACCCTCGAATAATCGAAACTACGGAAGAAGGGATGCTCGACACGGGCTCGGAGAAGGCCTAGAAGGCGGGTATCACGCTCTTTTCTCTCTCTCTCTCTCTCTCTCTCTCTCTCTCTTTCGGCTATTCCCCTCAACCCACCGATATGACGTTTCACGGCGGGCAGATACTGTGAGAAGGCGGGGTTTCTCTAAAACATTGTGAAGCGAAAAATCGAGCACCACCTCGACAAACTTCTCCCAGTGAGGATACTCCTTGACGGTGTCGCGCCACCCGTCGGCGGCCAGCGCGTCTTCAATCTGAATTCGAGTTTGAGGGAGGAGCAGAAAATCGCCAAAAAGCTATCTAGGTGGAGAGCGAAAACGAGAGAGAGAAGGAGAGAGAGAGAGAGAGAGAGATGTGAGAAAGAGATCCTATACCTTTTTCAACTGCCGAATCAGCGTCAGCTTCTTCGAGTCGCGCGGGCAGACCTAAAAAGCAGCGTGCCCCCCAATAAGTTGAAGCTCCCTAGCTTCAACTACAAACTACATACATGACGGAAAAAGTTGTCGCACTCCTTGACGGTGGTGCTCTTGGCCGCCAGCGCGTCGCGGTAAATCCCGGTCAACACGCTCACATCGATGCCATGGCTGAAAAATGAATAAAAATATCTAATTTGCATCTGAACGCGGCAACAAGCAGCGAGAGCAGCCAAACGATGGGGAGACGCATTTTGAGAATAATAGAGTTGGACCAAAAACTTTATAAATTAAAAGCCAGGGCGAATATTGAATTTTCCGGATGCAACTTACTTACTTAGGCCACGCTAAATTTTAAGGCGCCGTCATTTCAAGTGTTCTTGTAAATGACAGGTGCTAAATAAGTTATCCAAGCTGGCAAATTCGTTAAAATCGTTCTTCGATCTACCGCATCACCCACTCGACCAAATTTTTCAAACCTAAAAATGGCAATACGTTGTTCTGGTCTTCTTCTCACCCTTGTCAGATTGCTCTGGTCCACGGTTATCAGCGTCGATTCCTGGCAAATAGCCAGATGCGATCGCTACGCGGCCGCGCCGCAGGACCTTTTGCCCTGTTTGGACGGTACCGCGACACTTGAGCCGCGGACACTTGCGCCGCGACACTTGCGCCACGACACTTGCGCCGGCGACACTTGCGCCGCAACACATGCGCCGCGACACTTGCGCCCGACACTTGCGCCGCGTCACTTGCGCCGCGACACTTGCGCCTGACATTTGCGCCGCGACACTTGCGCCGCGATACCGAGTTTCAGCTGCTTGAAGATGCAATTTTTGGAGTGGAGTATTCTGGTTAAAGAAACGATAGAATGATGTTTTGCGCTAGGAGTCACGCGATTTGGAGGGAAGGTAATTGCTACTTCTTCCGCTCTGCGACTAGAAAAAGGCTTCGTGCCACCCGGGGCCTAGTCGCTTCGGATGGGTGCGAGCTCATACAGGGTTTCGAGATCGGGGCGCCCGAGGCGCGCGTAGCGGCCAGGCGCCCCGATTTCGAAAGAGTGGAGCGGCAGCCCATGCGAAGCGACGGCCCACCTTGCCTGACGCCTTTAGGAACGCTCCGAATTGGCGTTACTCACTTTCTGTCAGCTTTTAATGCAAAATACACTAATTACATACAAAATTCGCGCGAAATACCAAATTCACTACAGTTTAAATCAATATACAATCTACGGCGCAAATGTCGCGGCGCAAATGTCGCGGCGCAAGTGTCCGCGGCGCAAGTGTCGGGCGCAAGTGTCGCGGCGCATGTGTCGCGGCGCAAGTGTCGCGGCGCAAGTGTCGCGGCGCATGTGTCGCGGCGCAAGTGTCGCGGCGCAAGTGTCGCGGCGCAAGTGTCCGCGGCGCAAGTGTCGGGGAGCCGTTTGGACGTAAAAACGCTTGGCTTTAAAAATTATGACGCTATTTCTGTAATCGTCATAGAATTTTGATCGTTCTGGACTTTTTTAATTTTCAAAATTGGCCAAAGAAGTGACAGGGATTGAGAGATTGGGTGCCTTACCCAGGAATTACGACATGTAATCACCGCGCGCTCAAACATTGATTTTCGCCCCGAGAATATTTCCGTCTTACTCAAATATTTTACATTTTTCCACAACGAAATCACTTTTCTGGTATTTCTCGGCTGTGACCCTTTCGTTTCTTGACCAGTAGGTCCAATCCCCGCATACGTGAAGTTTGGCTGCCGAACCCCTTGAAAGCTCCCGTTGTACCAGTCAAAACCAAGGCATTTTATTCATCAAACGAGCGACAACACACGTATTAAATTCGAAGAAAAAGAAATTAAATTTGGGCATCATTTGTCGGGGGTAGCAGCTATTCGGCGATCGGGCGGGGCTGGTGGAGGAGGGCGAGGTCGGTATTCTGGTAGGCCGGGAAATTGAGGGCGTCCGGGGCATCGGGGGCCCAGTTGTCGAGGCCGGGCGGGTGGCTTTTGCTGTAAAAATTGAGTATTTAGGGTGATTTTCCCAGCATAGCAGATGGTCTCTGCCAGAATGCCCTTGCGGCTAACAGTTCTGCGCCCCAATTTCCACAAAAATCACTGCTAATTTGCCTGAAGATCCGGTCAAGCTATCGAGAACCTTTAGTTCCGCAAATGATCTCTGCTAGTCTGTTTAACACCAGATGGTTACAGTCGCTTCGCGACTGCAACCATCTGGCCTTCGGGCTACCCTACATGACCCACTCCACCACATCCTTTCCCACCTCCAACAATACCCCCGATAGCCGAAATCCCGTTCAAAAACTACAGGGTGGGCCAAAAAAAAACAACAGGTTTGGGCGCGATTATCTCGAGAACCTTAACGAATTCATGGTGGGTTGATGGCTGAAAACCATTTTCTCGGCCTGGAAAAGAAATAAAACACAACTTGATTTTTTCGATTTTTTGGCGACGTATCAATACAAATGACACCCGAAAACTGTGCGTTCGGGGAAGTTTAATTTGTATTTTTCTCAGCCGCCTGTGGCGGGGGGTTTCTAATTTTTTCTGTGTAAATTCTTGTAGGCATTAGATAGAAACATGCGAAATTTAAGATTTTTCTAAGGTCTGGTTGAAAAGTTATAGCGGACTGAAATTTACTATGGAGAAATTTCGTAAATCCTACTATATATAAAAAAATAGTGTTTGTGTGTTTGTGTGTGTGTGTGTGCCACTTTGCATCCACTTCCGTCTGTCTGTCCGGAGGATATCTCAAGAAGGGACGGGTATTAGGCTACGTATGATACGTCATTAGGTGCGTAATGGTCTAGGGATGACTGCACACATATCATTTTTTAAAAATTAGCCATTTTCGCTATTAAATTTAGGTTTTTGTAAAAATCTTTTTGTTAGGAATAATTAGCATAGAGCGGAAGTGGGTAGTCGCCTATCTAAAGAGGCAGAAACGGTTATCTTCATTTTTTGTCTTCTGATTGAATGGAGGACAATTATGCAAGGGACGAATAGTATGGGGTCCGGAAGGGGCCAGGGTTGAAAAGTCGCGAAGCGGCTTTTCAACCCTGGTTTTGAGTATTAAAAAACCTATGGCGAAAATCTCGACATACGTCGTTGTGGAATGCCTACGGGCTCTATACAATCGCATAAAGGCGGGCTCTAAAGAATTTTTTGAGATCGGTGATTTTTCGAGTTTTTCGACGACCCCCTGGTCATGGATTCTTTCGAGGTCACGAAACTGAACTTTGGAAAAATATTTCTAAAATTGCAGATAGAATTTCGGTGTTTGCTTTGCTTGCTTGCGTAGGTCTGGCGTCCATCTATCATGTAGACAATTTCTAGCTACCGTACCCCTTTGGAAGGTTGCCTTTTAGCGCTTCCAAAACGGTTGGTTCGTGCTATTTCGCAGACCTTAGCGCCAATCTATAAAATTCAATTGCGCGCCTAAATTTTTGCCATAATTTTATTTAATACTGCTTAATAGGCGCATTCTAAGATTATATTTAGAAATTTATTGGGCCATGCAATCTCTCAAACGAAATTCATGAAGAGCCCAAATATACGCGATTTTGAGGCGACGTAAAAAAATTCTCGAGGCTCTTGTGGCGGCGACACTTCTAGCATAAACTAAGCTTAGGTAGTCCTATAGAACCCATGCAAATACAAAACCTTTTCAAGGCAAACGAATTTAGAAGAGCTCGCCAAAGCCGGCTTTTCAAAAACGTTATTTTCGGGTTTTAAATCAAAATGAACCATTAACTTCAGCCAGATCATACCAGAGTTCTTTTCTCATACACTGTTGGATGCGTGCTTTAATTATATCCACGAAAATCCGGTGACTTTTTCATTTTCAAAAATTCGATTTTCGGCCCGGGGCCTCGGGTGCTGTAGAAAACAGAAAATCGCCGTTTTCTCGCTGTTTTCACCATAGAAACGTTTCGATCTTTCAGGAAAACAAATAATAGTAGTTTTTAGTCCGATTCATCAAAATATTTAGACATTTCCGTGGCCAAATTCAAAAATAAGTTTTTTGCATATTTTGGGAAGGTGTGTGGCTAGAACTTCGCGATATTCGGCCCATAGGTGACCCTTACTGGTGTTTACCAATGATAAAATTTTAAGCGAAATCGCAGCTTACACTAATAAGAAAAACGCGAAAAACAAAAGCTACAGTATCCCTCTGGGGCACGTTTTAGCAAGCAATATTAAAATACCATAGAATCAGGTAAAATTTGGTGTTGTGCTAAAGATTATCATTCGGAGACACTAATTGCAAAAGATCAGCCATGGGCAGCGGACTTGAAGCGAGTTGCGAATTAAAAGTAAAAAAACTGCAAAAAAGTGAAATTTGTTTTGCTTGTAAAAAATGAACTAGAGCTTGAAAAATTCCAGGCGTTGGGGATTACCTTTCTACAAATATCAACTATTTTTAGGCCAAAAACCAGAATTTTCCCACCACTCCTTCAAGAACGCACAATTTTCGGTCGTAACCAGCGTCAATAGTACAGTTGCGTACTCAAAAATCGAAAAAATCAAGTTGCGTTTTATTTCTTTTCCAGGCCGAGAAAATGGTTTTCAGCCATCAACCCACCATGAATTCGTTAAGGTTCTCGAGATAATTGCGCCCAAACTTGTTGTTTTTTTTTTGGCCCACCCTGTACCTAAATACTTTCCCGATGGCTTCAGATACCCCCCATGGCTGAAATCCCCTTCAAAACTACCTAGATAACGTCCTGATGGCTTCAGATACCCCCATGGCTGAAATCCCCTTCAAAAACTACCTAGATACCTTCCTGATGGCTTCAGATACCCCCCATGGCTGAAATCCCCTTCAAAAACTACCTAGATACCTTCCTGATGGCTTCAGATACCCCCCATGGCTGAAATCCCCGTCAAAAACTACCTAAATACCTTGCTGATGGCTTCTGATACCCCCCATGGCTGAAATCCCCGTCAAAAACTACCTAAATACCTTGCTGATGGCTTCTGATACCCCCCATGGCTGAAATCCCCGTCAAAAACTACCTAAATACCTTGCTGATGGCTTCAGATACCCCCCATGGCTGAAATCCCCGTCAAAAACTACCTAAATACCTTGCTGATGGCTTCAGATACCCCCCATGGCTGAAATCCCCTTCAAAAACTACCTAGATACCTTCCTGATGGCTTCAGATACCCCCCATGGCTGAAATCCCCTTCAAAAACTACCTAGATACCTTCCTGATGGCTTCAGATACCCCCCATGGCTGAAATCCCCTTCAAAAACCGCCTAAATACTTTCCCGATGGTTTAAGATACCTCCCCTAGCCGAAATCCCCTTAAAAAAACGAAAATAACGACCGACCGAATGGAATGAGAGAAAAAAGAAATGAAATCCCCCGTGAAAATTTTCATCCACGAAACGCGCGCGACCTGGCTCACTATGTCCAGAATCACCCCAACCTCCGTCCCCCACCCCTTTTACTAAGGAAAAAACTTTCAAAGTTAATTTTAATAATTTAAACTAAAAGTTTTTCATAATTTTTTTATCAGTTTGGGGGTTTCTGACCTCGCTCTATCCGAATCCGAAGAGACCTAAGCTCTAGCTCCTTTCCCCTTCGAGTTGAATTCGGCTTCACACGGACGGACGGACAGACGGAGACCACAACAAAATTATTATAGTTGATGCTGGGATTTTCCTCAAGGATCTCTGCTAGCTTGCTATCTTGCCCGTTTCGGTCTTCCTCCAGCGTTCTCTGTTTTTTTCGCTTCCTATTTGATCTAGCGTGGCCAATTTTCCGCGGCCAATTTTCCGCAAGAATCGCTGCTCTTTTGTCTTAGTTCGAATCCGAAATCCAGAATCTTTCCAGTTGTGCTCGATATCCTTCAAAAAATTTTGCTAGGCCACCGGCGATTTCCCAAAGGGTCACTGCTAGCTTGCTCGGTAAATTCCTCACCGGCAATGCCTCTCAATCAATTTGTGCTTCTTCTTGTTGCTCTTCCTCGGGCCCTCAGCCTCCTCTTCGGGATCCAGATACCCGATCCCGGGCCGCGGCGTCATGATGAAGATCAGCTACAAAATACAGTTCAACCCATGTCGCTATCTTTCAATACCTGGCGATGCATCGGCGGCACCGAGCTGGCCAGCACGTCGGCGGGGCGCGATTTGACGTACAGGTAGTTAGAGACGTTCGTCGTGTCCAGTTGAGCCTGCGTCGGAATCAGAATTTTGAATGTTCACCGACCTGTAGGTGGCAATCCGGGTCCAGGTTCTCCAACATGACCATCGTGCCGGCAAACTTGTCGTGCTCGAGTTGGAAGAGGAAGCCCTGGGACTAAATGGGCCAAAATTTGAAATTTATTAGCCTATCAATTGTATATTTAATATATTTCAAAATTTATCTATATTTTCGAATCTAAAATGATTTTACAAGCATGTAAAAATACTGAGAAAAACTTTAAAAAGTCGAAATTTTGTGATTTTGGCGTGAAAAAATAGTTTTTTTTGGAGCTTGCAAAAGTAATTCTTAAAGTTCATACTTTCTACGGAAATAATAGGAGGCCTTAAAGCTTCAAGGATCTTTGCTAGTAGTCCTCAATTTTTGGCTACCTTCTCCTCGCCATCCTCCGTCTTCGCCCGCACATTGCACGCGTACTGCCGCCCCTTGCGGGCTACCAGCTCGATCAGCGAGTCGGTGTACATCAACGGCGCGCAGGGGATGCGCCGGGCGGTGAATTGGCGCTCACTAAAAAACCGGGCTTTTACTTAATTTCAAACCTTTAAAAACGGCTGGATAGCGGGTTCTTTCAGTATTAGAAGCGCTACGTTACACACCAATGCACAACAAGTGCGGCTCGGCGCTTCTTCCCGACGACACCGACCAGTCCAAGCGAGTGCGCGATGATCACGTAGAGGCCCTAAAACATAAATGAAAAAATGCAAAAAAATTTCTAACCTTCTTCAGCTTGGTCTCTCCAATGTTCACCGCCTCGTCGGACTTCCACTTCGAGTAGGCAGCCAGCCGACCGACTGTGCCATCGCCGTTGACACGATGCACGCAGAGGAGGAGGTCTTCCTGAGAAACATTTGGTTTAAGGGAGCGTTAAAGTCTAGCAAAAAAATGGCTTACATTCAGAACGCTGCCAATCGCGGCCCGGGGATGCAAATTCGGGACGGCGCGGCTTTTCGTGTTGTGGAGGGAGAGGCGGATGGTCGCCGGCTCGGGCAAGTCGATGAGGAGGGCACTGACAATGGGGAATTTTGGCTTACTCTCCCTTGCTCTCTCTTTCTTTCTCTCTCTCTCTCTCTCTCTCTCTCTCTCTCTCTCTCCACCTCCCCATACCCACTTGTCCCGATCATCAAAAGCCCCGCCAATCCAAAGCGGCACGCGCAGCACGCTCCAGGTCGCTTCACTATCGAAGTCTTCGGCAGATGGATAGGGCACGACGCGAACCCAGTGCACCAGCGTGTACAGGAAGTCATAACTAGAAATCCAACGTCAAAAGGTTTAAGTAGAAATCGATACCTGATCCAGTACGTTCCGGGAGGACACGGCTTCGCCCGCAGCAGCCGATCGATGATGGCTCTTGGCCAGTGACTGAAGGCAACATTAAAGGGACGTGTAAGGCAGCATAAAATTCTGAGAAGTCGGCTCTCAATGAAAGAAGCCCTACCCAAACGTGACCATTCTCGAGCTGAGGTCTTCGAAAAATGCGGGCGGATCACGAAGGAGGACGGCCCTTAAGGATGAATGCTAGTAATATGGGTTCCAAAACTACCGGTGGTCACGATCCCCTTCCCAGGCGTCTAGAAAAGCGACGGCGTGCGGCCTGAAAGGCTCGAAATATCTCTCTCACTCTCTCTCTCTCTCTATCTCTCTCTCTCTCTCCCTCTCTCTCTCGCTATCTACCCATCCTTACCATGGAATCGTGGTCCCACAGCACACCAGATGATCCTCAAGACTGGGCAGCACCACTCGGTCCCACACCATCTGCCGGCTCAGCTGCTGGTACGGCTTGCCGGTGTGGAAGACGTCGCACGGCTTGCCGGTCAGAATTGTCCAACCGAGCTGGAGGCTATGTAGAGGGATGTAAGGTATCAAAAACTGCCTAGTACCTTCCCAAAACGAGACGATCGTACGAGCCGAACGCCTTGGCGACAGCTTTTTCGACGAGAGCGACCCAGAGCTGGAAAAACAAATCTCTCTCTCGCTCGCTTGCTCGCTCGCGCGTTCTCTCTCTCTCTCTCTCTCTTTACCTGGTTCCGGATGAATCCGGCAAACAAAGCCGGTCGCTTCTCCGCCTCGATTTCTTCCGGATCCTCAGGCACAAATGGGAAATACCCATCCACCGTGATGATCTTCCACTCCCCGTCGATGCAAAACCTACAAACAGCAATTTCAAGGAGTTCAGCAACGGCATACTGCAGCTGGTAGATGCCGGCCGGGTTGTACTGCTTGGTGATGAAGATGTCGTCAATCAGCTCCGGTTGCTTGGCCATCGTGCACAGGACGGCGAGCAGCCAGCAGTCGCTCAGGCGGCCTAGAGGGAAAAGGTAGCCGTTTCTCTCTCTCTCGCTCTCTCTTTCTCTCTCTCTCCCGCTCACCCTGCAGAACATCAAGTGGAGACGGGTTGTCGAACAGCGCCCATTTCTCGCCCTCCTTGCATGGGATTCGATCTTCCGGACGCCGCCAGACGGCTTGCTAAAATAAGATTTTTGAGGGACGTGTCCAAGCAGTTCAACCTTCAAGCTGTCCTCATACTTCTCGCGCCACTCCGGCTTATCCCGAGGGTAGTAGCGGTTGAGATCACCCAGCGAAGAGGCCGACGGGGCGAAGTCCGAGTCAATGAAGGGGGTGCTGGACTCCCTGAAGTTGATGGTGTCCCGAAAATCGATGAAGACACTCACTCGTACTCGGCCATCAGCTTGACGAATAGTCTCTGGGCGGCCCTCAGCTGCTCTGCGCTGGCTCGGTGTTTTCCGGGACGATGGTCAAGCAGATCGTCGGTCTAAAAAGTGGCGCTAGAGTTGTATAGCTACTTCTCTAATACAAGCTACTTAACTTCACTACAAAAATCGGAGAACCTACAGTAGACTCGTCCACAACGATGGCATCGAGCGGGATACGGTAGGGAGGGGAGCGCGGATCCTGAAAAGTCAAGGTAACAGCAAGCTAAGCCAAAGTCAAGTCATAAGCTGCTCAAGACGGAAATTAACCTTCTCCGGCTTATCGCATCGACAAGACAAGTAGCGAGCAGCAGCTGTGACTAGATTAACATATACAACGTTCAGAAACGGTATCCCACAATTCTGCCAAATCCAGCTGGGCGTGCAGGTGAAGTGCTAAAAAGCGATAAAGCGCCGAAAATTAAATCACTACCATGTGTGGCGGATCTTCAATTGGATCCCGGAATTCCAGCGCCATGCAAAACGGCCGAAATGCGCGGGGGTACGGTATCCGGAGCGCGGAAGAGCCGCGATTTCGGCAGCAACAGGTCGAAGGAATGATTTATCAGTAACTTGTAGCTAGTCCTCAAGCCTGTATGCAAATTGTGAACTCATGAAATTATGCAAATCTCACGAGAAGTAGCTCTACCAATCTTTTAGCTTCACGCTCTCTTCGCTCTCTCTCTCGCTTCCTTGTTCTCTCTCTGTCACTCACTCACTCTCTCTCTCTCTCTTTCTTTCTAGCTATCTCACGCGCTCTCTATTTGCCACTATAACCTTTTAACTTCATTTATTCATATACCATTTTATTAATGCGTCTTTGCAGGTTCCCCAATGATCGCGGCCATGTCGCGGCAGATTCCGGTGGCATGCGCGGTTGCTTCGATCCATTTACAGTAGTGGGAGACATCGGTGTAAATGCCTGTAAACGTGGAAGTTCTCAAATTCTCTCTTTATCTCTCCCGCCTCTCTCCCTCTATCCTCTCTCTCTCTCCGTCTCTCTCTCTCGCTCTCTCTCCCTCGTGTGTCAGCTTACGATTTGTTCCCGACCCATCGCATTCACCATCATAATTCGTCGCCATAGCCACGAGCACGTTGAATTTCATTCCCGGTGGCTGCTTGGCCGCCATCGAAACCACAGCCGGCGCCCCCAAATCACCCTGAAAAATCGTGAGCACGACGAAAGGACAGGTTTTAGGGTTTAAGAAGCTGCGATAGCAACGCGTACCCAACATGGTATTGCCCTCTCTCCATCTTGAGAGCAGAGGACTTGCTCATTGTACTCCTCCCCGACACATTCGGTGCTGCCGCTTGGCAATGCGAGGCTGACGCCTACACTTCGGAGATCGCGAGAACCAATGTGTGATCCGTTGTCTGAAAAAAGGTATAAAAAGAGGAAGCGTAAGAGAACGAGATATAGAGAGAGACCGAGAGAGAGATAGAGAGCGAGATAGTGAGAGAGAACAGGTAGAGAGAGAGAGAGAGAGAGAGAGCGAGAGAGAGCGAGAGAAAGAGAGGGAGAACACTAGTGAGAAACAGAGACAGAGAGAAAGAGAGAGAGAAAGAGGGAGAGAGAGGGAGCACTCGGGAGAGAAAACCTTCTCTGGTGAGCCCCCATCCGAGCAACATCGCTTCGTAGGCCCCCGTAGCGTCTAGAGGCGCCTTCGGATCGGGCACAATGACGGGCCAGACTTCATCGGCAACACGTTCGAGCGGGTTTTTCAGCTAAAGTCGTCAGATTGATTTTAAGAGGATCGTGCTCCTCTCTTCAAATTTTTAAAAGCGACCCCTACAATTAATAGAGCAACGTCGTTGACGTGGAATTTCGCGCTGTAGACGTCTTTCGGGTTCAACGGATTCGGCCACGTTGACTCGACACTCTTGAAATCGTCATGAACCCAGATTCGGGCAATTTCGCGTTGTTGCTGGAAAATATGCAAATGCAGTTGGATGGTCGTGCACTTACTCCACTTACATTATGGAGGGAGTGGGCGCGTATATCTGCGACGCCGGCAATGATTTTCAACTCTGACTGGGGCCTGAATACAGTAATTATCGGAAATTGTATTAATGGAACGGTTTTGGAATCGAAAGTCAAGTGGTACTTAAAGGGGCTCAGAAACCAAAATTCGTGCGTCCGGGGAATGACCCTACTGGTCAAAAAACGAAAGGGTCACTGCCGAGAAATGCCAGAAAAGCGATTTGATTGCGAAAAAAACGTAAAATGTTTGAGAAATCGAACTCTTTTCGGGGCAAAAACGACATTTTGAGTGCGCGGCAATTACATGTCGTAATGCCTCATAAGGCACCCAATCTCTCGATCTCGGCGATCCTCTGGTCAATTTTCATAATTTAAAAGTCTGGAATGATCAACATTCGTTGAGGATTCCAAAAATAGTATCAGACTTTTTAAAATTCAAGCGTTTTCGCGTCGAAATACAGGCAAAAGATCATGCGGCGCGGTCGCGTTGCGACTGCATCCGGCTATTTGCCAGGAATCACAGCAGGGGGGCCGTGGACCAGATTTCGAAGCCCTTTAAATTTACAACGTTATACTTTTCATATTCTGCTGTGATTTAGTTAATTTTATGACACCTACACTCCCTGGACGCATTGCGCTGCCGTCAAAACCGTGTCCTTATTCATAATCGATCCGGTACAGCGCTGATGCCAAAGCTCGCTAAATTTTCATACCACCTTAACAGATCGATAATTACGAGTCATTTGCGTCTTGCCGCATGACCGCCACCACAAATGGAAACGCTTTTAGGTCGTGGAGAATTTCTCCATTACGAATTGGCCAAATGGTCGGTAGGTTAATAAAAACCAGAAATATGAAGATCGCCACGGATACTTGCATCACTTGTGATTTTCGTAATAAATTCTTAGACCCATTACAAGACCTCAGGTTGGCACGGGGTTGAATTGATTTCGACCGGACCCTCCATTGGCGAATATTCGGCCCCAATACTTCTTTGGCAACTGGAGTGAAGCGTAGTGGAAAACGAAAATTTTTACGTTTAACGGGTTTCTTGATTTTTTTTATAGTTAAAGCCTAAGTTATACAAAATTTTTGAACTTTGCTTTTTGCAAATTTGAATCCTGTTTCAGCCTCTTCAGAGGCTTGTCCATGACCCCGTATCCTTGATACGATGTACACCTACCGTTTTCCAAGAGAAAATATCCGGCTGCGCCTCAAATTTCCGGGATAGGCCAGACGGGGCTTGAAATTGATTTCGGCCGGACTTACCGAAAATGAACTCTATTACCTTATTTTCACTAGTTATTGCTGCGCTTCTTGCCTTTGCACAAGGTAATATTCACTTGATGTTTGCCAAAAATATTCATTTGCGCGTTTCGGTAAAAAAATCTTGCTTTATACGACGAGATTAAAAAATTATGAAATCTAAAAGCGCAAAATAGGCCCAAACTTTTCGAATTTCGAGCAACGGTTGCCTGTGCATTGAAAATTTTCAACAATTCTTTAATCTGGGCATCTTGCCGATTTTAAAAGCAACATCAGAATAAGCGAAAAATTGTAGGCGAAGGCTCCCGCGTGCGGAAACTCGATTGTCTCTAAAAATCGGTGTTTCCGTGTAAGCGGGGGAGCAAGGCGAGTTTCTTAATTAAGCGTATCCTACATAGCAATAAATCAAAATCTAGTTCAGGAAGGTTTTTGGTAGTTTCTGAGCACCAAAACACTGTGAAACTTTATCAGAACATCTTATAATTTTTTCTTGTATCCTAAGTTTCTGCCCAAATTTGGTTATTTTTCATATGGTTAGCCGCGAAAAGTCATTGTTTTTTTGAAGGTTTGTTATTTTTTGAAAACGCTTGCATATGCATTATTGTTGGTCGTTGAATCAAATCACTGTGAATGCTATTGAAAATTGCTTGGCTTTTAATTACTTCACCCCTAAAACGCCTTCGCAAGAAAAGTCTTCCCTTGCTCCCCCGCTAACACAAAAGCAACAAAAGCGTAGGAAGCTACAGACGTTTCATTTCTAGCCGGCGACCCGATTGCCGCGTTCAAGGCCGTCGACAAGGATGGTGACGGAAACGTCACTTTTGATGAGGTGCGTAGCGAGCTGATGGCGCGAGACCGTGGTGTTCCGGATGGAAAGGCCAATTCAGCGTTGAGGGCCGAATTCTGGGCCGTGGAGAAAACTCGCGATCGCAGGCTGAACCAGCAGGAATTTGTGAATTTCTACCCGGCGTTTAATAAGTTTCGAAGGAGGCGTGAGAACTGCGAATAAAAATATGCATTGAAAAAGCGCGCAACAATTTATACGGCAAAAAGGATAAATTCCGGTGAGAACTTCGAAAAAATCAGGGTTTCTTCTATATTTATAGGCGATCCAAGTCTCGGCATACAGTAGTTTTTGAAGCCGTCTCGATCCACCTACAGTAATAGCTGGTACTGATGAAAACACCTAAAATGAGATCAGATTGCTATAAAAAAATTGCCGTACCTCTATTCTCCACATATTTACAGTCACTATCACCGCTGCTGATGATTCCGTTTTGAATCCACAATTTCTCGCCCCGTTTGGTGGTCCAGGGCACGACAAGCGGGCCCCCGGAATCGCCCTGAAAAAAGTGTTTTAGTGTCGCACGTAGCTGTCGAGACCCAGTGGGCTGATTCTGTGCCTTCCCAGTCCCTTTAAAACTCCGCTCTTACATACCAAACATGGCCCAGTCCCTCGCGCTTCCCCGCAGACGATCAGTTCGCCAACCGAGCGGGGCACGATCCATGCCAAGCATCCCTGCGGTGAGTACATGGTGATGTACGTCGACTTCAGCTCGTTAGGGCGGGCAGAGTCTGGGAATTTAAGTCCAGTTTCGTCCTTCGATACCAGAATATGAAGTCTTGCCTACCCTTCGAAGTCTGGCCCCATCCCATCACCTTGGCTTCGACGCCGGCCCGCTCAATATTCGAGTTTTTCTTGACAATGGTGGTCGGCCAAACTTGACCTCGGATGAGCTTTAGTGGTGTTGTTAACTGAAAGCGCGATTATGGAGGAGGTTCTTAGGTTTGGCTGTTTCTTAGTGGAACCGTTCCTTTACAAAATTGGCACAGCATTAATTTTGTGGATTGGCATTAATTTTGTCGATTTTTTGGGGGCAGCCTGCACAGCCTGTGCGCCGCGCGTCGCGGCTGTACAGCCCCCCCTAGTGGGCCGCAGGAACGTTCGACCGGGTCGATTTT